CAGTCTGCTATTGTTAGTTGCTCTGCTCATATGGTAAAGTTCTAAAAATCAGACCTAAGCAAAGTAATCATATGGTAAGCCTAACACATAGTCGTGTACTCACAACTCTTATTATACAAGCAAATGAATTAAACAGCATGAACGTGATACAGATAATATTTTCCTACTAAAGGGAAAAGCTCGGAACACCAGTTCATTCAATCAGCAGTACAACCAAAAGAAAGCGAAACATACCTTTGAAATTGAAATTGAATCGAGCTCGGAACACTGGAACAGGACATCAGCGTCTTCGACACTTCGTTTGCCCGGAATTTGTGAGGAGTGAGGAATCGAATCGAGCTGGAAATCGCCGCCTATGATATTTTCCTACACTGGAACAGTATACTTCGTTTGATGCAGAAAATCAGACCATTATAATTTATAGGCCCATGCGGAAACTCAAAAGTCAAAACTTAAGTAGTCATAGACCGGTGAAGATGAGATGAGACTTACAAAACGTAGACTGATATCCTAAGCAGTCGATTCTCGTCTAGACTCGCAGACTGATAAGTGATATCCTAGACTCGCAGTCGTCCAGTCGATGACTCGATTCTCGTCTTCTTCTTCTCGATGATATCTCCTACAGTCTTAAGCACTGAAGAGTGAAGAGTGAAGTCTGAAGCAGTAAGCATTAAGCAAGCCCTAATGGCTAATGCCTTATGCCCTACTTTGATGAGAAATTGAGAATGCCTAATTTGATTCAAGACTTGGGTCTTGGGTTGGGTATTAACTATTAACTGAGTCTGACTTGGGTAATTGATTGGGCTTGGGTTGGGAGTTGAGGGAGCGGGGCCTGGGTGGGAGTGGGACGCTGGGGATGGGCGATGGGGCATGGTCTGGCCGCATGGGCCTATAATTGGGCTTAGTAGCTTGAATATTTTCGGTATTTCGGTTTATCAAAATTGTAGAATTATAAAACCGAAAACCGAACCGAAATACCGAAAATTCATTACCGAATTAGACCGAAAAATCGAAAAAACCGAAACCGAAATACCAAATTAATTTGGTTCGGTTCGGAATTCGGTTTTTCGGATTTTATGCCCACCCCTAATTGATTCCTTTTGACAAACTAAATTCACAAACCGACAAACTGACCTTTTAAATCGTAGAATTGCACTTTAAATCCGACAAACTGCCTTTTTCATCGTACAATCAATAATGCTACCAACCACAGGGCCTTCAACTTCTTTTTAATTTTTGGAAAATAGCATGTATAGTCGTTCTCAAAATAATAGTCGAATAT